ACAAACAAGCACATCTTCAAAATCATGTTACTTTTCCACTAATATACTTATTCTTTATCTCCCCCCACATATTTCTCATTTCACTTAACCTATCAATAGAAGAAAAAACTTTGTTTGGGCTAAAATGTTCTATTAGAAGAGCCAATTCTTTTTAAATGAGGTAAATGAGAAAGAAGAAAAAAGGTAGAAACCCTGGAAAGTAAAGATTGCAAGGTTTTACACTGGGCAATGAGGGAATCAACTAAAAAGCCAAAAAAAATAGTAATCAAACTTTATTGGAATAAAAATATTGCAATTATAGTAGAAAAGTAAATAAACTTAACTGTGGACCTTTTATTGCAATAAAATGCTATCAGACTGTCTGAACAAAAGAGGCAAACTCAGGTGGACAAACACACCCAGAGATACTCTGAAAAGGGCCAGGTGGAGCAGTAATTTTATTCAAATAAGGCTCTCAAATTTCTTTTAAAGTAATATTGTGAGCACTCTGCTGCTCTCACCTGGAGATACTGTCATCTGCAAATACAGGAAGATACCTTATTTCTTTCAACACCTATAAGGTCACATTTTGTGACTATTCCATAAACAAACACATCTTTTATCCATGAGCACTTATGCTGTTTCTAACCTTTTGTTATCACAAAGAATGCCATAACCTCCATAAAACAATCAAACAAATATGTACCAAATGGGCCAAACTGTATTTCCTCAAGACAAAAAGAGCAGCTGTAGGGCAGGAAACTGCTTTCAAGTGTCTTGGGTTTTAGCATGTGCATGAATGACTTAATACAGACGCCAAAGTGATGCCTTCTACCTGGATTCCATCCTTCCAAATGTTGATAGGCTAGATACGCATTATCCAACACAGCATCTAGTCACACACAGGTACTGAGTCCTTGAAATAAGGCATATATATATTTTGGGGGGGGGTCTTTTTTGAGACAGGGTCTCCCTGTAGCCCCAGCTAGCCCCAGCTGTCCTGGAACAAACTATGTAGACCAGGCTGGCCTTGAACTCACAGAGATCTGCCTGCCTCTGCCTCCTGAGTGCTGGGATTAAAAGCGTAGGCCGGGGATGAAGGCCAGTTGGTAGATTACGTGTATAGCATGCAAAGCCCTGGCTTCAATTCCCAGCAGTGCATAAACCCATATGGTAACAGGTAACTCCAGAGGAAGGTAGAGGCAGAAGAATGCAGAGTTCAAGGTTATCCTCATCTACATAGTGAATTCAAAGCCAGCCTGGGCTACATAAGACTTTCTTTAAAAATTAATAATTAAAAATGTTTTGTTGAATTTAGCATTAAACAAAAAATATTAATCCCAGCACTTAGGATACAGAAGCAGATGGATCTCTGAGTTTGAGGCCAGCATAGTTGGCATAATGAGTTCCAAAGCAGCCCTGTCTCAAAAAACTAAAAGAAAAAAATTAAAGGTTCCATATATACCATACAGTGCATATTTGATAGTTCTTGATTGATTAGTCTTAAAAAGTCAAGAAACCCAAAGAAAGAAAGGGAGGGGGAGGGGCGAGAAGAAGGGAAAAGTAGAAAAGAGCAAGGGGCGATTCTGCAATCAATTCACATATACAGCAATAAAAGTTAAAGTTATGTGCATATATACATTTATGATAAGTTAAAATATTGCAGGCAACATATACAAAGTTATCCTATGGAATTTTATAGTTATAAAGTATTTTGAGCATTCAATACCTTACACTATTATGATCCATTCCACATCAATTTAGACATTCTTTAAAGTGTCAAGGGCAAAATTATAATAGATGGGGCTTGCAAATACTTTTGAGCGTAATAATAGCTCCCAAGAAGAAATAAAATGACTTAAAGCGAAATTCATTTTAATATAAAGATTTAAACACAATGACCATTTAAAAATACTAATTTAAACTTATCAGCAGAATTATTCTGTGGCAGCAATTCATTTCCTGGGTAAACCACTAGATGTGAGGAGATAATGACTAACTTTTTTAGGAAGGGAAGAAAAATTATTATAGTAATGATGTTATGTGTCACTAAGGGCTATTTGCTAAGTCTATGAATAAACAAGCTACTATTTTAGAGAGTGGAAGGGCAATATTGCTTTTGTCTTTGCTCTATGTTAAACCACACTTAAATGCATACATAGAATATCATATGATCTTGAACCCATCTGTACAGTACAGTTTAAGTTACCTACCTAGTATTTTCATAGTGATATTGAGGAGCATTATTTCTTTTGCTCAGTGTAGACAGAAATAATGAAAACACTACCTGTCCTGGAGTTTTATTTTCAAGTTGACCTACAGCCATGATTATATGAAAACAAAACCCTTCAAGTTATATGCTGTAGGTATTCACCCAATAATCAGTTAAAATGGCATTCAATTTTTTTTCTAATTAAATGACTACAAAAGAAAAGATGTTTCAATACCTACACATTTTTGATATGGAGCTATTATTCGAAGTTATAGAGATTTACTTTGGCTCTTCAATCTCTTGTTGCTGGTCAGGTCTGGAGGGAGTACAAGGCATCATGGCCAGGGAAAGAAGCATGACAGTGCTAGTCTCTCCCTCTTAGAAATCCACCCCAGGGCTCAGCAATGGCTCAGCCTATAAAGGCACTTGCTGTCATGTCTCAAAATCTGAGTTTGAGCCCCAGATACAATATGGTGGAAGCAGAGAAAACAGATTGGCACAGGTGTCCTCTGGCCTCCACAAGCAAGTAATGGTTCACATGTCCAAACATACATATAGCCAATAAATGCAAAAGACAAAAGTTGGTAGTAGGTTCTACCCAATGACCCTGTCTACCTTAATAACTCCTGAATTAAGCTGTTATCCTATCAACATCTCATGATGGGGGGAAATTATCCTTTCATTTCCCCTCTCTGAAAATAACAGAAATATGCTTTATTCACTCATATCTGCTATAAGAAGTAACTGATACTGAAAATATTATCTACTTTTTTGAGAATAAGATTAAATAGACTTGCAAACTTTAGCCTACAAAGAATGCATAATGTAGTGTGCAATACCACTCTGGATGCTATTTTCTTGTGCAACTGTATATTCAGACACTTTAAAAGTAATGCAATTACTAGAGGCTTGTAGACAGTAATCATTAGCATGAGGTAATCTCTGCCAAATAATATATCTATAAACACCCGCTACATGAAGTTGCATTTTAGAATAAGCAGTTTCATCATATATATATATATATATACACATACATATACATATATATACCTATATATACACACACATATATATACATACATATATATATATGTATATAATCTTATTAAGATAGGGTATCCCTGTAGCCCCAGCTGGTCTGGAACTATGTAGACCAGCCTGGCCTGGAACTCAGAGATCTGCCTACCTCTGCTGGGATTAAAGGCCTGTGCCACAACGCCCAACTCATCATCATTATATTGAGACAGAGTCTCACTCTGTAGCTGGGGATGGCAATCACACCCAGCTTAAGAAGCAATTTTGTAAGAGGAATAATGATTCACTCAGGACAAAATGACCCACTAAAATTAGGATGATTTTTTTTCCTTAAAAATGGTAGGAAGACAGGGTATGTTGGCACATGACTTTAATCTCAGCACTTGGGAGGCAGAGGCAGGAGGCAGAGGCAGATTCTGTGAGATGGAGGCCAGTCTGAGCTATGTTGTGAGTTCCAGGCCAGCCAGGGCTACAGGGAAACCTATCTCAAAAAGCCAAGAAAATATAAAAAGGTATGAAGTTCATGGGCTGGTGAGATGGCTCAGTGGTTAAGAGACGTAGGTCTGATTCCTACAACCGACATAGTGGCTAACAACTGCCCACTAACTCAAGTTCTAGGGTATCCAACATCTTCTTCTGGTCTCTGTGGGGATTGCACACACATGGTGCACTTACATACATGTAGGCAAAACACTCAGACACAAAATAAAAATAAAGCTTTAAAAATGGTCAGAAGTTTATATACAGGAGAAGGTCCCTGAGGAACATCTGGAGAGGCTGGCAGGTTAGGCTTGCCAGGATGCTTTGCATGGCCAACACTACATGCCATAGCATGGTTGATTT